GCCAATGTCTCATAAATATATTTTCAATTTCTTTATATTGACAATTAAAACCTGAAATAAACGCGTACTCAATTCCATTCTTCTTTTCTTTAATTTTTAATTTATTCTTAATTTTCCCATCCCCTAAGTAATTCTGACTTATTTTAAATCTAATTTTTTCCAATTTAATTGGATCATATCCCTTAGCAATAAACCTATTCATAATAACTTCTGATTGTAAAATATAGTCCTCCAATCTGGAACAATTCCTAAAAATTCTAGTAAATTGTCCCTTTGGTATGCCCTGAATCCACCGGGGATGGTGACAACTACTTGTAGGAATGTACCCGTTTCTGTCTGTATCCTTAAAAAAAGTTTTAAAATATAATTTATTATTCAACTTAAAAATAGTTAAATCTAAAAAATTGACCAATTCCGTACTGACATTATGGGTAAAAATTAGTTCATAACTATTTTTCCAATATAATCTAAAAATTGCTGCAGACTCTCCTCCGTACCCTCCCAAACTACCAGAATATCATCAATGTATCTTTTCCATGTTTTTAGCCCTTTCCAGTTTTTACCATAGATTTCCTTATCCTCCCATTTTGCTAAAAAAATGTTGGCCAGACTGGGAGCAAATTTCGCGCCCATCGCGACACCTTTCCTTTGCTCATAATATCCACCATCATACCAAAAATAATTCTTCCCCATGGAAAATTCCAATAGTTGTATGATAAACTTTCTTTGTTTAATATGTAAATCCGTATGATGTTTCAAGGCCCACTTTATTGCATCTATTCCATCTTTGTGTTTTATACTTGTGTATAAGGAATTTACATCTATGGTAATTAGATACATCTCTTGCGTAGTCTCCATGCCCTCCAATAAATTAATAACATCTTGACCGTCCTTTAAATACGAAGACATTTTTTTAACCACCGGCTGTAAATAAAAATCAATATATTGCCCCACCCTTGAATGTATTGACCCTATTCCATTAATAATAGGCCTACCTGGAGGATTAATCAAACTCTTATGGATTTTAGGTAGGATATATATATATGGAACCTTACAATGCAATGGAACAAGATATAACGCTTCTTTTTCATAAATAATTTTATCTTCTTCTGCTTTTTTTATCAATTTCAGGAGCTGTTTTCTATACAAGGCTGTAGGATTTTTTGAAATGTTTTCATACGTACTCCTATCTCCTAAGATTAGATTCATTTCCTCTTCATATTTCAATCTATCCATTATAACCACCCCTCCCCCCTTATCTGCTGGTCGAATCACGACATTATTTTTTTTCTTTAGTGTGAGCAGACCCTTATATATGGATTCTTCTTCTTTGAATTTCCGTGCATTTAATTCATATAAATCATCTATTGCCATCTGTTTAAATACCTCTACATTCATATTTCTAGAATTAGAAGGGTTAAACGTTGATTTATTCTTTAAATCACTATGGGCATATCTAGACCTAGACTGCAAATTTGCAGTAGATGTCGGCTCTGGTAGAGAGGCAAAATATTTCTTAATATTTATTTTCCTAATGTATTTATTAATATCAATATATGTGTCGAATTTATTTAAATTCCATTTGGGAGCAAACTTAAGACCTTTATCTAATACTAAAATTTCCTCATCTGTTAACGGGACTGAGCTAAGATTATAAATACCTTCCCCTACACTTCTTTTCTCTTCCTTTTGTTTTCGTTTCCTCCTTCTGATGTTCGCTCCTCCACTTGATAATACCTTCCTACTTCTTCTCTCGGAGCATAGCCTCCCTCCCCTTCCATCTGTTGATAATATTGGGGATTTCTCTGTCCTCCTCTTCCCCATTGGGGTTGGAAGTATGGTCTCATAAAAGGTGGACCTGGTGGCCGACCTCTGAAGTCTCTCTGAAAAAAATTTCCCCTTCCTCTGTTCCGACCTGGGCTATAATAAACATTCCTAGGGTTATATTGATTATATTGGTTATTCCAGCCTTCCAATGGCTGAAATCTATTATAAACTGGAACATTAAATTCTTGATTAGCTAAATTCTTTGCTTTGTAATTTGTTTTATTGTCAATTGGTTTTGATCCCACTCCCCTCCCTGAGTTTGGTACAGCTTCCATCAACCTTTTCTGGCCCTGGGATACATTTCCCGGGCCTCCTAGGTTTTCTTCAATAGATTTAGCTGGTGATGATTCAATAGACTGACAATTTTTAGAAATTACTTCCTGCCATTTATAAACTTTATTGGCCTGATAATCCCCCATATCTCTTACAAATTTCTTATGTTTCTTTTTCTTAATCTCCCCATCCTTCTTATTGAGTTGTTCCTGTAACTTCTGAAATAATCCATTCAGATCCCTCTTGTCTTTCAATTCCTCAACTTTCTTTTTCATCTCATCTAGTTTAATTTCAACTGTCCTTAATTTCCTTTTTTTCCTTTCTATCAACATTTTAAGCAATTGGGTCTCACACGTGTGGAAAAAATTCCTCCACTCGCTTAGAGAATCCTCATCATGCAATCCATCATTTGGGATTAAGTCCCATCTCAATCTCCGAGGTACAATGCCTTCCGATATATATTTCTCAAAGGATACAATATCCCACCACAATTGCAGTTTCTTTTCCATAGTATACCCAACTTTTTTAACCATTACCTCTACATTAATATCTAGAGTGGACTGGGTAGTAGAAAATACTTCATCCAAATTAATTTTCCTATTATCAATAAAATTAAACACATCCATAATAAGTGACCTTATTGACCACCACGTGATCAGCGGTGTCCAATGACACGCTGATCAGAGGGAAATGCAAGTGCCGGTTTTCGGCTGCACTTTCCTCACGCTGGCAGATCGTGAGGAAAGTACTGCCGAGAACCGGCAGTTGTGAGAGCGAGGATCGGCACCGATCATCAGGGCACTGATGATCAGTGCCCTGATGATCAGTGCCAAGCAGTGCCACCCGCAAGTTCCGCCCACCTGTGCCCAGCAGTGCGCCCACACTAGCCCCGCCCACCTGTGCCCAGCAGATCACCCACCTGTGCCCAGCAGCGCCCCCACCTGTGCCACTCTTCAGTGCCACCCACCTGTGCCCAGAAGTGCCACCTACCTGTGCCCAGCAGTGCCACCCACTTGTGCCCACCCACCTGTGCCCACCAGTGCCACCCACCTGTGCCCACCAGTGCCACCCACCTGTGCCCACCCACCAGTGCTGCCCACCAGTGCCACCCACCAGTGCAGCCCAGCAGTGCTGCCAGTCAGTGCCACCAGTCAGTGTCCAGCGGTTGTGCCAGTCAGTGCAGCCAGTCAGTGCCGTCTATCAGTACCCATCATCAGTGCCACCTATCAGTGCCGCCTATCAGTGCTGCATATTAGTGCCTCCTATCCGTGACACCTCATTAGTGCTGTCTATCAGTGCCGCCTATCTGTGCCACCTCATTAGTACTGCCTATCAGTGCCCTTTAGTGCTGCCTATCAGTGCCCATCAGTGCCGCCTATCAGTGCCCATCAGTGCTGCCTCATCAACGCACATCAGTGAAGGAGAAAAAATTACCTGTTTGAAAAATTTTATAATAGAAACAAAGAAACTTTTTTTTTTTTCTCTCAAATTTTTTGCACTTTTTTTATTTATAGCGCAAAAAGTAAAGCGCCCAGTGGCGATTAAATACCACCAAAAGAAAACTCTATTTTTGAGAAAAAAATTATCAAAATTTCATATGGGTACAATGTTGCATGACCACGCAATTGTCAATCAAAGTGTGGCAGCGCTGAAAGCTGAAAATTGGCCTGGTAAATAAGGGGGTATAAGTGCCTGGTAGGCAAGTGGTTAAAGAAACAAAAATAGGTATCATACTCGCAATGGACATAATAACACAGGCATGTCAAACTGAACAAGACGTATGATCCAAACAACATCTGAGTCCATACGATGGAACCCTAGATGACCAACTGGCTAACGCATTTCAAGGACATAACCTCTTCCTCAGAGCCAGCCAGGGAAGTTCTGCTTTAAGGCTTTGTCACCCTCTCCCGGTTAAGGATTGGTACCTTTGGGTAGTGGGGGGGAGTGGGTAACCAAATTTGACAGGTGCCTGCTTCCACTTCTGCTGGGATTGCCTAGGCAAAGTTGTCCTCCCCTCTCCCTCCTTGTAGTCTTCTGGGACATGCGACAGGCTCCAGAAGAGTACGAGACCATTCACAAAGCACAGCACTATGCATGCACAGTGGGCATCTGGCTGTGAAGCCGCAAGTTGTCACAGCCGGGTGCACACACTGAAGATGCCGGCATCGAGGATACAGGACGGTCTATCAACCTGGCTGGTGTGAGGATACCACGGGATCATGGGACAGGTGAGTGCCCTTTTTTTAAAAGTCAGCAGCTACAGTTTTTGTAGCTGCTGACTTTTATTTATGTTTTTTTATTCCGACTGGACCTCCGGCTCACACCCTAAGTTCACACCTATTCAGGTTGTGTTTGATGCGTTTCTGCATTGCATTTTGCGGTACATTTTTTTGCATGGAAATATGTATTTTTTTTATTGTAGGCTGTCATTTTTAGGAATAACTCACTGAAATCTGTCTGAACAAGAGTCTAGTAAACATCCCGGGTATGATAAAACTTGAAACACGAAATCATAAATTATAATTTAATAAATGATCATAAAAAATAATAATAATATAATAATAATAAATTTAATTCAATAATATAATCAAACCAAAAAACACTGAAATTTGAAATACAGAGGCAAATTCGCACATCGCTGAGCAAAGTCGCAAAATCGTTTTCAGTGTCTGATGATGAATTTCCCCCACGAATCATTATCACTCAATTCTGCAAGTGGTTCTGATTTACTATCGCTGTTCTAAAACCGCTTTTGACGTAAAGGGACGCTTTTTGGACGCCATGGACTTTTCTAAGTTTCCAGGCAGAAAGAACATTCAAAATGCAGGCAGGGCGCCGGACAAAGCACTCGGGACAAAATGTATGTGAAATGCATTGAAACAGCAATGACAGCAAAAAATGACATTTTTTTAAAATTTCAAATTTGCCGCCAGTTCCGGCGCCCGTACGTCCCGACGTCACAGGGACCGGAACACAGACGCCGGAGGCCGGCATCGGCCGGAGGAGATGGCCGGGGACGCTGCAGGGGACACATCGCGAGAGTGAAGGACAAGGTAAGTGCTGCAGGGACCCCCAGAGCAACGCCGCATGGTAAGCCCAAGTCTAGCTTGGGGGGGTTACCGCTCTTGGTATTGAAATTTTACCCCGAGCTACACTCGGGAATACCGCTAAGGAGGTTAACTCACTTAGTGCGTAGTTCATTTAAAATGGTGTTAAAACGGCGCTATGGAATATTTTTTGTTTTTTCATTTATGGGTTGGAGCCAAGATTGAGTAAAGATACACCTTTGGAGGGAGTATCACATGGATCACAATATGGAGAATACACATTCCATTTAAAAGTGCATTTGATCTATTATAATAGAAGGTCGAACCTTAAGGTGAGCAGGGAGTGTGCCCTTAAATACAAGCACGTTGTGGAATTTTGGATGACAGCACAATACTAGGACATTTTGAATTTGGGATTGGACTATTATATATTCACAGCTGATTGATTGAGGATTGAAATATATATTGTTCACTTGTATTTGTACATGTTTTTGATGAGGAGTTAGCGCATTACATGTATTTTTAGGTCATTTACAGTATATTCTAAGTGAGAGTACACGTGGTGAGTGGTTTCAGCAATCTCTTCCTTCTTTCTTTGCAGTATTAATACTTATGGTGTAGCTGCGCACGAGTTTTATACTATTTTATACTATTCAGTATAGTAACATGGTGCATAGATAGGGTTAGATAGAGAAAACAACTTCATAAACTTGTACATCAAGGTAAGCTGCTGGTTCGAGTACATATGTTTGGATGTGGCAAGTTAGAGTGAATCACCCCTTTGGGTGACAGGGCTGTAACACTGCACTCCTATCAGGGAGGTACCCAGAGAGCACATGTGAGTACCGAGAGAGCGCTAACAAAAATAATCAACATCTCTGGATAAGGAAGGACCTGTGACCTCAGCAAGACTATTCTGTAAAGAGTAAAACTAAGCAAAGAGTAGAGAGGGAAAAAAAAGGGGGGGGGGGGTGTGGCAGCCAAAGGTGAATGACTAAACCTACAAAGAGATAGAAAAATGAGAGGTAGGGGTCAGGACTCTGGGGGAAGGGGGGGTGGATATGGAAGGGAGAGGCCAGGATCATCTATAGGGGGGTAACCCAGATTATCAGGGTTAGAGTAGAGCTGTCAGGTCAGGAGCAAAATCTAGGGGCAAATAGTGGGTGACCCAGGGCTTCCAGAGTTTTTCATAGGAGATCACTCTATCCAGTATGATTGATTCAATTTTGGCATGAGTCATTCCTTAGTAATTCTATATTTCATCACTAGGACACATAATGGGGGAAATTTCCAAACTTTTGCAATGGTCTGTTTAGCTGCTGTGGTTATAAAACCATTTTTTAATACAACACCCGACTTTCACCATAGTCACTGATCTATACCGAACAGTTTGGGGTTGATTTACTAAAACTAGAGAGTTCAAAATCTGGTTTCGGCTCTGCATAGAAAACCAATCAGCTTCCAGGTTTTATTGTCAAAGCTTAATTCAAACTAAAGTTAGAAGCTGATTGACTTCCATGCACAGCTGCACCAGATTTTGCACTCTCCAGTTTTGCTAGATTCACCCCTTTGTGTGGGGAACTTTAGCTTACAGAAAATGTTTCCTACCACGAAAGGGCCAGTTGGTTGTGTTTACATGTACTCATAACAATGGGCCTTGGTAGGATCCTAAAGGACCTGGGGTACCAATGGGCACCTAGACTATGAAGTCTAGGTTGATCTACTTGTTTTTTTGTCCTCCATGTCATATCCTCTTTTACCTATATCTTTTGCATCTTTCATCTGCTTGGTCTCTTTCCCTTTTCTGGTTGTACTCCCTTTGAATTTGATGACCCCAAAAGGACCTTGCAACTCCACTGTGGTGACCACAATGTATACTTTATATCTAAGCTATATAAGCTGATACATGGGAAATTTTAGTTTCTGTTGTCCTTTTTTAATCAGATCTAAGACAAATCTAATCATTTTTCATAAAAAAGTAATTTATATTAAACAATAATAACTGTAATTTTCATAAATTTGATGACATGAATGAAACAAAAACAATTATTGTATTATTATATAGAAATAGTATATTAATGCAGAAAAAATCAAAACTATTTTATGACCTGGGTCACATAGTACCTGATACATACCTTGGGTGCCAAGGTCTAGTAACTCCCCTGATCATCACTACCTATATTACCATTATATTGCTCCATAGTTCTTCAACTATTTTATGTAGAGCTTGTCTAATCTCATGGTTCCTCAGACTGTATATGATAGGATTTACCAATGGGTTCACTACAGTGTACAACAAAGAACTGTACTTGTATACGGAAGGTGACGACTCATTGGCTGGAGTCACATAAATAGCAATTATGGACCCATAATATGCACCCACAGAGATCAGGTGGGCACTACATGTAGAAAAAGATTTTTTCCTGCCAGCGGAGGATGAAATCTTGAGAATGATAATAAAAATGTAGATGTATGTCCCAGTGATAAAGATGAGAGCACAGAAAAAGAAAAGGGCAGAGTATGTGAGGTCTATCCATTCTACGATAGATGTGTCTGATGTGGACAATTTTATAATTGGACCTAAATCACAAAAGAAGTAATCAATGTCTTTGAGGCCACAAAATTCAAACTGAGCTGTGAAAATAATTTCAGTTGAAGCTAGAATCCAAGTTAATGCCCAGGAACCAAAACCCAACAGGAAGCAGATTCTGCGATCCATAATTAAAATGTAATGTAAAGGATTAGAAATAGCGACATATCGGTCATAAGACATTATCACAAGGATGAAACATTGCACAAACCCAAAAATTGAATAGGAGTATAGCTGCATGATACAGCCAACAATAGACAATAGACATTTTTCCCTTTGTCTTTAATATAACCTCTGCCATCATTGGTATAACACAGGTGGCAAGGAGGACATCGGCAAGAGCTAAGTGCTGAAGAAAGATGAACATTGGAATTTTGAGATTGCTATTGGTTGACACTAGAACGATGATTAAAATGTTGCCAAACACTATCACAAAATAAATTAGAAGTAAAACAAAAATAAATAGAGGTTTGAAACTGTCTAGACCCTGGAATCCAAAAAGATAGATCTCTGTGACTTTTGTTTGATTGTTTTGACACATTTTAAGATGTCTGGACCATCAGGAAGGATAGTAAATGATATACATGGAGTACATGGATAATATAAGAAAAGAATGTCTGATGTACAAATTAAAATCAGTCACTGGACTTCTCCCCACATTTACAACTACTCTTACACTAAAAGTTCTTTTAGGAAGTCCACCTAATTAACTAATAGCCAAAGTTTTATATGCAATGCATTGTAGCTTGATTAGCCAGTCCCCACTCTTCTTGGTGAGTCTTCTGCTTCTTCTGTGCTTGGACCTCAAAGAACTTCAAAGGGAGACATATGGAAGCTTAAAACAACTAATCTGAATGTTCTCTTGTTCAGATTCACTGCAATTCAGAAAAAAAAGAGAGCTTTTAGGAATTATACTCACAAATTATAACATTACCATTAACCAGACTAAGACCATTAATACCTGTCTGCCAGATGTTAAAGGGTAAGTTCAGCTTTACAAAAACAATTACAGCTTGCTGTTCCATATGGATATAGCAGCAAAATGGGCCAAACCTACCTACCAGCCAGGGCTCCCTTTCTGTTTAAACAATGAAGTCAACAACCACATTTAAAAGACATTTCTTCAAATTCTCTGAAGAAAATGATAGCTCTATTCAGAGTTATTGTTGGGACAGAGCAGCCGTTGGGACCAACGATCCCTAGCGCCATGGGAGGATGCACCATTCTGTTCTTTTTGGTCACACATGCTGTATACTTTCTCCTTTCGCCTATGATTTTCTCAGGGATGGTGTGAGGTGAGAGTTCAGTACCCATATGATAACCCATATAGTTGATCCATCACCACCACATCCCTACTTAGTCCAAATAAAAAGGAAAAAAAAAAGAGTGTATGGGACTTTGTTGGTGCTTTGTTGGTGCTCTAGTACCCTCAAGAAAAAATACTCAAGACGTATATATGTATAAAAAACTATACAATTTTATTATACAATATAAAACACAAGATTTATCTCCCATAAAAACAGTTAATGGTAACATGAGCCCTTCAGTACAGTGAACCCTAAGCCACCTTCCTCAAAGTTGGTATGTATGACATGAAATAGCTTATTGACTACTTTAAAAATATGAGTTAGGAGGGTGGTACGATGGTAAACCCAATGCGTTTCACCAGATGGGCTTCTTCAGGGCTTCAGAGAAAGGGGAAACACTGTAAACACAGAGGGAATCATGAGGTACAAACAAATAAACCATCACCCATAATAAACTACTTGTTATAGATCATACCTTTGTATTATGATCATATAGGATAACAAGATATACATTATGTATATCATAAAATTACCTGTACTGATGATTGTCCACACCAGAGGCGGACTGACCATTTGGAAACTCGGGCACTGCCCGAGGGACCGGGGTCAGTAGGGGGCCCCATGAGATGCCCCCGGTACCTTTTTCATAGGCTTTTTTGAGTTTGGGCAAAGACACAGGGGCCCCATGATCACCTATTGCCCGGGGGCCCCATGAGTTGTCAGTCCACCCCTAGTCCACACCACACGACAAAACCAGAGGAGGAGAAGTTGGATTTAAACAGATGATATATGGGAAAGAAGCTTCCAGTTGGGGCCACACACAGGGGCTATGAAGCATGAAGAGAAGGAAGAGACATTGACTGAATTTCTCTGTAAAACTAGTCTTTGGTTCTTGGAGAGACAACATTCCGCTGGAATGCTGAATTGGTTGAATTAATGAAAAAAAAATATATACATATATAGAGAGGTAAAAATACTGTATATACACAGTATATACACACATACTGTGTATATAGATATATATATTTTTTTCTTTTTTCTTCCTTTGTAAAGTACTATCACAAAGCTTAGAATGACACATTCGGGAAAAAAAAAAACATTCTGCTGTAATCTTACCAGTGCGGAAGACCCCAATCTTCTTCCCCTTCTTTCTGTGGGGCTTCCAAGGTGCTTCAGAGTGATTCTAATTGGTCAGCACTGGCACATTATTGCTTTGACCAATCCAAATTGTTCATATCCATCTTGGAAGACCTACAGTTGTGACCAAAATTATTCAACCCCCAATGCTGTAAAGGGGTTTAGGGACTATAGTGTACATTTGGAATTGTATTCAGAATCAAATCCTACAAGGACGTTGTAACTACCCAAATGCAACTAAAATGACATCAATTGTTTATGTAATACAGTAGTAAATGGTTCTTATGTGGTTTCTTCATTGCCACAATTATTCAACCCCTTAAAGACTACCACTCTGAAGAACAGAGGTTCATACAGGTGCTTTCCATCAGGTATTGAAAACACCTGTGGATGTCACCGAGCAGCAATCAAGCATAATAAGCACCAATTAGGCAGCTTTAAAATGACTGTGATACTCAGCTCCTTCTAGACATTTACTGGTGTGGTTACAAACATGGTGAAGGCAAGAGAATGGTCCAGGAAGACAAGAGAAGAGGTGATTTCTCTTCACAGGAAGGGCAATGGCTATAAGAAGATTGCAAAGATGTTAAACATACCAAGAGACACCTTAGGAAGCATCATTCGCAAATTCAAGGCAAAGGGCACTGTTGAAACGCTACCTGGTCGTGGCAGAAAGAAGATGCTGACTTCGACTGCTGTGCGCTACCTGAAGCGTAGAGTGGAGAGAAGTCCCCGTGTGACTGCTGAGGAACTGAGAAAAGATTTGTCAGATGTGGGTACAGAAGTTTCAGCCCAGACAATAAGACGCACACTGCGTAATGAAGGCCTCCGTGCCAGAACTCCCAGGCGTACCCCCTTGCTGTCTCCAAAGAATAAGAAGAGTCGACTGCAGTATGCCAAAAGCCATGTGGACAAACCACAAAAGTTGTGGGATAGTGTTCTGTGGACTGATGAAACAAAATTAGAACTGTTTGGGCCCATGGATCAACGCTATGTTTGGAGGAGGAAGAACAAGGCCTATGATGAAAAGAACACCTTGCCTACTGTGAAGCATGGTGGAGGGTCAATCATGCTTTGGGGCTGTTTTGCTTCTGCAGGTACAGGGAAGCTTCAGCGTGTGCAAGGTACCATGAATTCTCTTCAGTACCAGGAGATATTGGATGGAAACGTGATGCAGTCCGTCACACACCTGAGGCTTGGGAGACGTTGGACCTTTCAACAGGACAATGATCCCAAGCATACCTCCAAGTCCACTAGAGCATGGTTGCAGAGGAAAGGCTGGAACATTTTGGAGTGGCCATCGCAGTCACCAGACTTAAATCCGATTGAGAACCTCTGGTGGGACTTAAAGAAAGCAGTTGCAGTGCGCAAGCCTAAGAATGTGACTGAACTGGAGGCCTTTGCCCATGAAGAATGGGCGAAGATACCCGTAGATCGCTGCAAGACACTTGTGTCAAGCTATGCTTCACGTTTAAAAGCTGTTATAACTGTAAAAGGATGCTGTACTAAGTACTAAGATTGAATGTCACTTGGGGGTTGAATAAAACTGATAATGCTGTGAGCACAGAAAAGACATTTGTGGTTATTTCATTATAACTGTTATGTTATATTTGTCTGACCTACAAGTGCCTCTTTAATGTAAATGTAAGCAAGATGACTGAATGATCAAAAGCAATGTCAAACTGGCCAAAACACTCAATTTCAGTGGGGGTTGAATAATTTTGGTCACAACTGTAAGGAAGGGAGAACGGGAATTTCAATTCCCTGGACTGCTACCCAGGCTGTGTGGGCAGTGACAGTTCATCAGCCAGGAAGGTATATACAGTATATACAAAACACCCCCCCTCGTCAGGACTAGAAAAAACATAAGGACATCTCCATATCAATACAATACTAATAAAATACCCCCCCACCAGGGTCATAGTTAAAAAACAAATACCCAGTAGCCAATAATATTGGATGTAAAAAAAAATCAAAAAAAAGTCAGGTAACATTCAATAGATAACTAATAAACTTGAACCTCACACAAATGTTAAAATCTCAATAATAAAACATTCCATTTCAGTTCATCAATCAGGTTAAAAACAATAATAATAATAGTAGTAGTAATAATAATAATTATAATAATAATAAAAAATAATTATAATAATATTAATTCATCCTGATTAAAATAAGAAAAAATATGGACCTTATGAGAATAAGAATGTCACTGATGTTTAACTAAGTGGTTGATATAAAGCTGTACAGAGCTACTTACCTTCTTGACTTAATGTAATTACATAATTCTCAACCACAAATATCCGCACTCTACAGTTCTGAATTATGTTAGCTGCTCCGACCATTTTATAGTTAAGGGATACACTAATGAGTCCTATGAGACTGATACCAAGGGGCCTTCCGTGCACAATATTATCAGCTGAGTCTTCATCTCAAAAGTTGTGCAATTACCAGTAATAATGCTAAAACAAAATTACAAAAATGTCTTGGGAGTTTTAGGATTAAACATTTAGTTCTGAAAGGAAAATTCAAATCCATTCAGGAAAGAAAAACTTTTGAACTAAGAATGATAATTCTATATGACACAAGAGATAATGGCCTTAACTTGGACATGGGATTCCTCACTCATTATCCAACAGTTTTATGACTATTAGCTAGCTTAACCCCCTCTGTGTGAGTGTAGTATCCCCCCCTCCCCCCTCCCCCCCCCCTCCTTTTGCTGTATCTTATCTGTAGCCTTTTTTTTTTTTTTCATCCCTTCTAACATTCTGCTTAAACTTTGTGATTTGTAAT